TTTTTATGTGGTCTTCATCACACGCAAATCGTACTCATGTGTACAATGTAACCCTAATTTGGTCTGGTAACATTTTCATAACATTAATCATACTCATACGAACTTGCGTATGACTTTAGGGAAACATGCATCTTTGCTGTACCACTAACAGAACGAAAAAAATCTATAACAAGAAATTACCATTTCAAATTGAGTTGAACTAGGAGTAACAGACTTGACTTGGTTTTGCGTTTGAGCCACATCGCCCGGAACCTACAACACACATGTCACATGCAAAGCAGTATATTTAGTTAATTGCATACTAACATAATAGACTACTTATTGTTATTGAATTGTTGCATGTAATGTTAGCTTGTATGTTTTAAATTGTATACACACTTTAGCAGGGTTGATAGGCCTTCGGAAGAAGTATATTTCATCTTCTGTTACTGTTGAGTTATGGTTGAATTTTTTCAAACCCTCTTGTCCCAGTTTCTTCATGAGGCTTTTACTTTCATCGTATAACGATTCACAGATATATACATCATCTTCTGGAATTTCTGTCGGTCGACCTACACATACACAAACATTTTGATATTATAAAATACATTTTTCTTTTTATTTTTATCATATATTTGCTCGTCTTTCATTAAATCATTTTTCATTTACTTACTGCAAATATACTCTCCGTAATCGAGGACTGCGCATTTTCCGACAATAGCTACAATAGGGTGGGTACCATCGACAGTAGACAAGAAAAGTTCTTGTTTGTAAAATAATTTTGTAGGCGTATGTGGCACTTCTGTGGGCATTAATAACCATGGGCCTTTAAAATAACATTTTCCACTAAAAATTAAAGAATTGTTCTTGACAAACATATTAATTATATAACACTTATAGTAAAATGTATTTTATAAATCTTACTCTTTGGTCGACCATATAGCATCAATTTGTGCAATTTGTTGTCTACCTCCATCTGTTGCTACATAAACAAAATCTCCTGTTTTTACAGAACCCGCACATGTATTATATTGTTCGTAGTAAGTATTTTCTGGATCCTCTGAATTATATAATATTACATTCTATAAAGAAAGATAAACTAGGTAATACATCTTCTAAAAGATGCTAAATTGACTTCTATATCACATTATGGTTTACAATTATATCATGTATTAGTATACAACTTACAGGTCGTTCCTTTTCAGTTAATTTTTCTCCTTCTTCTAACTCTGCAATTTCTTCTTTATGTTTTTCTAGTCTTTCCTTATACACTGATATTACTCGTTTTGGTTCTAACGGTTTGTCTCTTGACACAAGTTTTAAATGATCCGGATCAAAATTCCAAACTTTGATTTTTTTAAAAGCCCGTGCTTTTGTGGAATACCGCGATTCACATACATATACATCTTTTTCTAAGAAACCTTCTGGTTGCATTCTAAAATAATCTTTAACACTTAGAACACAACACCTGCCAGCTACCTTTGCTAAAGGTACTGCTACATGAGCATCACTTTTGAACAATTCTTTATCAAGAAATTTCCTAGAAGCTACGTGGTAAGTTTCACTTGGCCTATAAAATAAATTGCCATATAACATTTGTTGTCCTTCTGCATTTGTCCATAAACGTTCTATAAGAACTACACTATACTCCATGCCACGTTCTGTAGGCTCTATGTATGCAAAATCTCCAGCCCTATAAACTTCTTGATTAAAACTCATTGAACCACCATTGTCACTATTAGTTCCTTCTGTATTAGTATTTGTTTCAGAATCCTATGAAAAAGAAAACATATCTCAGTATGTAATACTAATTTTTCATTATGCAATTTTTATGACAAAATAATACATACTTTTGTTTCGTTTCCATCACAACTTTCTTCTTCGTTAGGCAATGTTAATTCTTGTTGTTGTTTCACGCGTTTTAGTTCTGCGACTTGAGCAGAAAGATCAAGTAGTGTATAATTAAGTGCTGGTGAATGTAATAAATCTCCACCACGAGTTACTTCATCACGAGTTCGCAAGAAAAATGCTTGTAACTCTACACTGTCTTCAAAAGGTTGAGAGTCTGTACGTGATAGTCTCCTAGCTCTTTCTAAACATGTGAACACATCTTCTTGGAATCTGTCCAATCGTTTGTAAACTCCACGATCTAACCTTCTTTTAATTAGGTCCAATGATAACCCTCGTACTCTGTTATTTAAAATAAATAAAAAATTATTTAAATTAATCCAACAATGGAAAGTATAATTTATAATACATAAAAACAAGTACATATTATTTTATTCTGATTGGATAAAACTTACTTTTTTCCATCTACAATATCATGCTCAGGAAGTTCTGCCATGGAGTCTGAATAACATCTTCCTTCTTCGTCTTGGTGATTATAAAGAGCAGTAAAAATGGTTGCCAATATTTCTTGAACAGCAGCTGATACATCTGGCACACTTTCTTCATCTTCGCTTAATTGTAACTTTGTTTGTAGAACTAATCGTTGTAAAATTAGTGCATCCTGAAAAATTATTTCAACTGATTCAAAATCATGTTTCAAATTTATCGATGATATTAAAATTTTCATGTTTCATAAGCATGTTTATCAGTGGGCAATATCTTATAAAGGACAAAATCGTTCTTTACTTCTGTTTCATTCTTCTTGCACTTTTTTGATAACCGTTGATCTACTTCCTTGTCTCTCATTAAACGAATAAAACAAGGTCGTACTTTCAACGTCTTGGGTAAAGAAATATTATTTTCTTGATTATTAATATTTCCTTGTTCAGACATTCTGAATAATAGTGTATACACATAAAACTTGTAAATAAATTACAACATTTATAAAACTTATATAGTCACAACATGTATAAACATCTAACAGGTAACTTGTCTTGTATTTAATTTATAATTATTAATCTGATAAAACTGCATATCGACATTAATTATATTATTATATTTATTCATAAGTAAAAAGTAATCTTTGTTCTGTAAAATTCTTATATGAAATAGTATGAAACGACAAAGATACGAAGGTAGCTAACTTCACGTAACCTCAAAAATCATGACCGTAAACAGATCAGGCTTTCCATGTTTTAGCGCGAAATTTCAATTGCACTTCAAACATACACTCTTCACGGTACATTACACTTACTTACTACTAACTTTTTAGTTAAATAAACGTTTAGTAATAGTTAACATAAGTAAATTAAATAATAAACACAACCTTTTTCTCCTTACACTGTAGATTTTCTTATTAGAGGAAATGAAGAATGCCAATTATAATTATTATAAACTAATTATTCATTTTTAAGTTATTTAATTTGTTTAAATTGAAAATATTAAATTAAAAATAATTATATTTAGCTTTTTTAGTAAATAGAATGTCATCTTTCCTTGTAATTATCCTAATGACAGATATTAAAAGAATTCTTATTGTACTGTTAAATATTATTACGATGAGTACATATATTATTATACAAACCTTGTATATTTGTGAATCAGGCTCATTATATTTGCAGGCATTGTCAAACATTAATATAAAATCTGACACGAGTTCATCTAAATTTTCATACCCATTATTCTTCAACGTAGAAGCTATTTTTTCCATGTTCATTGGTTGTTTGATAACTTCATAGTAATCAGGATACTCATTTTTATTTGGTAATTTCATAAAAATTAAAGATAACTGTCTTCCTTTAGCATCGTGATAATCTTTTATAGTGTCATACATAGTTTTTAACTTTTGTAAGTGTAGTGGTATAACCTTTTTCGGTCTCCTATCAAAAATAAAAATATTAAAAAACATACTTTTTGCAATTTTCAATAAAGTTAAATAAGTGTTTATAATATTACACACATTAAAATGCTATAGATATTTTACATGTTAAAATTTTATAGGTATATCAAGTGGTACTTTTAATACTTTACATACCCAACATTTCTAGTTGGCGTGGATGCACTTGGTTTTATAGGTTTAGGTGTTTCTGGTAATGGACCTAATTCTTTTACTTTATCCATCAGAACTTTTTCTAAAGTATTTGCATCTTCATATATTAGAGAACCTTCTTCATTGTACTGACGGCAATTGTTGAACATTAACTGAAAATAAGAAAGTAATCATATAATAAAATATCAAGATCTGTTATATATAACAAATATATAATATATTCAACTTTTTCTTATTAAAAATGCATATATATGTATATATACATATATACATATATATATACATATATATATATACATATATATATATACCTTAAAATCTTGTATTAATTCATTTTCATTTTGATATTTTTCTGCTTTAATGTTGGCCTCAATAGCTAACATATCAATGGGTTCTGCTATTACTTGATAATAATCGGGATATAATTTTTTAGAAGGTTTTTCCATGAACATTAACATCAGTTGTCGACCATCTTCACACTATAACACAATGACATTCTTTGTATTGTTAAGTTTGTGTTTCAATCGTTCAAATTGGAATTACTTACAACGTATTCTATCACACATTTAACTAGTGCATACAATCTTTTTTTCAAAGGTATATTGTCTTTATATTTTCCACGGGTTAACAGATTTGAAGCACGTTTAATAAGTTTTGGTTGATGAGAACTATTTTCAAATTCACTATCAGAATCTGAATCCTATGAATGTAACAAACGTGTTAATATTCGTGTGTACATATAATATATATTTTACGAAAAATAATTTTTTCTTACATATTTCAATAATAAAATGCATAGAAAAGAAAATTTTTCTATTTAATATGTTTAATGCGATATATATTATTTACCTGATCAAATTCTAAGAGTTCTTGTACTTTCTCCTGCATTATTTTTTGCAATTTTACAGCAGACTAAAAATCATGGTATGCATAAATTATAAAAATTAAACACGTGAAAATTTTAAACCAATCAATGTTTTTACCTTATATAATCTAGATGTGTGAATGTTATATTTTTTTGCATTCTCAAACATAATATTCATATCCCCAGCTACTTCGCTAACTGTACCATATTCACCTTTCTGCAACAAGTCATGAACCACAAAAAAAGTGACTTATAGATATAATAAGTAACTATATTAATTAATTTTATTAATTACCTTTATTTTTGTACGAATTTGCAACAAAGAAATAGGATTTTTAATCATTTTATAATAGTCAGGATATAGTCTTTTTGATGGGAGTTTCCAGAAATATTCACTCATCCTAACTCCTGAATAATAAAAAAGATCTAATCAATATCATTTATATAAAATATTATTTAATAAAATACTTTAATATAATTTTCTAAAATACCTTGGTTGTTTGGCGCTGTTCGAATTGTTTGAAATAGCTGCCACTGCGGATTGTCAGCTTCTTCAGTTTCTGCAGATTCTTCTTCTTCATCGTCACTTTCCTCATCTTCATCCGGTAATGTTGCAGTTTGAGCTATCAAAGACTGAGCCATAGTGCGGCTGCCTCTTTTACTTCGTGTAGATGGAGCAGTTGTTGCAATTTTTGGAACACTGCTACTTAATCCGATATCTTGTTTTCTCGCTGCTGCAGTAATAATCTTTTTTAAAAGTTTAGCATCTTTGTAAATTTGAGAACCAGGTTCATTAAACTGACAAGCATTACGACACATTAGCATTAAATCTTTTTCCATGTCTGCAATACTGCTGTACGCTCCCTCTTGAATTTTCCTTGCAACTGTTTTTAAATCCACTGGTGTTTCTATTACATCATAATACTCCGGGTACAACTGTAAATGTAACATTTTTTATACATTTGTACAAAAAATACACAGTAATACTTCACAAGCAAAAATATATCATACTTTTTTAGATGGTTTAAGTTGAAACATTGTATGTAATGGTCTATTATTATCAGCTGGATCTGTTGCTGTCATAACAGCCGCGAATAAATCTTCAAATAGTTGTATTGTCTCTTCATCAGGATTTGTAGAACTTTCAGATGTATCTTCTGCATCATCTTGTTTTGTTGTAACTTTTCGAGCCTAATAATTGATATTATATTAATTTTTAATTGATGGCACAACATAATATTATACACACAATTACATACCAATCTGGCAACTTTTAATATAAGTTTTCCTTTAGGTTCTGGATCCTCATATTCTTCTGTAATTCTATTTTTTGTATTTATACATAATTCCCAAAGTTCTGTAGCATCTTTATATTCAGGAGATGTACGCTGTTTTTAAGAAACATTTATTGTTGCATATTAAATTTCATATTTTTTCATGTTCCTGTAATCTTTATGTTCAATGATTTATATATTATTACCATATAAAAAGCTTTTGCATTATTAACCATAAGTTGAATATCAGCTGCTAAATCATCCATATCTCTATACTCGTCGGTTTTTAGTTTTTGTTGAACCTTTAATAGGTCTATAGGATTTGTTACAACTTCATAATAACCTGGTTCTTGTCTGCGTTTAGGCACACGTATAAATGCATCACATAATAATGTTCCGTCTTCTTTTTTTTGATTACGTAGTACATCGTACAATTGTTGGCACAGGTCACTCTAAGGAATATTCAATTAAAAAATTATTAAATATCGAACTATTTTTATATATTAAGAGCTACCATAATACATAACAACTTACAGGATCTAATTTTTTTCTCCTTTTTGTTGGTTCAGGTGGTATATCATCACCGTCATCTTCTGTACCACGACTTGCAACTGAAGATGTCCTACGACGCTTGTTCATCTTCAATTATCTTAAAAAGTATAAAAAAATAAACGTATACACAAACACAAATAACACCAATGTTCTATATCAACATTGAGCTACTACATTATAATCCAACATCTAAGTCATAGTGTCACTGTACACAGAAAAGTCTTTGACTACATGTAAGCCTGACCAATATAATTGCATCATTTGGAGTACATAAAATCGGAGCACAATCGAGAACCATACAAGTAAAATTTCATACACAGTCTATAAATTTACTAAATATGTCGCTTCACAAAGAAATTCCTTTGCGTACGTATTAGGTATGAAAGTAATCGAGATACACAACTGCAGTTAAGAAAATTTCGCCGCCATGATATGTCGCCACTGTGCTTTAAAATGCAGAAATGCATAACGTTTCAATTTTTCGACCTAACATTGTAAATGAATGTATTGCAAATTGAAGCTGGAAGTAAAAATTGTAACACATCTATAGTCCAATAACCCTCGGAACAACTAGTGAATATGGTTAAGTTCATAATAAATCGCCGCTTAACTAAAATTTACCGCCATATCAAAATCTCACTGCATCTTGGAACTCTGTTCCTCTACAGCTACAATTGTTTTTCTTCTCAAAGCACTTGTGTTACCATACTTTGAAATTCTCACCTGTCGTTAAAATTTGTACAAAAATTTTTTTATTAATATACAACATGTAAAATAAAAGCGTTATAAATATTGAACGCTTTTCATCTGCAACGCACGATGACACACGACTTGGCTAACGCCATGCCGTAAGCAACCGCGGGTTTATAATCACACGAACTGTACGATCCTATGGCCAGAAATAGAGGCTACTTCACATGCGCTTTCATGTGTAAATTCGCTCAGTCGGTATGACGGTTTTTAAACATTCTGCACAAACTTAAAATACTTGTTAATATGCATATCCAAAGTTTGTCTGAAATTACAGTAGTTGTTAATTATAACATTAATAAGCATTAACATATTTAAATTTCTGTAAATGTTAATAAAAATTATTGTTATGACAAACTTCCATATTGAAATAGAAATTAAGGCTAAGTGAAAAAGACAGCATATTGCAAAATCTTGTTTATTACTTGATCGTTACTATTTATTTAATTATGATAATTGTATTTTATGTAACAAAGACCATTAGTAAAAAGAATAAAAATATATTTAGATTGATTTGTTAACAAGTAAAACTAATATAACTCGTACGAATGAATTAAGTAAAATCAGAGAAATTTTCAAGTGAGAATTTAAAGAATTAATACTAATGACAATATAGTGTGTATGAATTTTTGAAAATGCAAAATCTATAAATACGGTATTAAGATATAGAGGTATAAGTCTATAGTAGATTTAATTTATCTTTTTCTGTGTTCTGTAGTATTTTATTTTAAAATAAATTAATAAAATATTTTAGGAGCACAACTGAAGTAGCTTAATTTTTGTTTTCTTGTACTGATAAATTTAAGAAAAATTGTTTGCTGAATAACAACAAAATTTTATTTATTTATTACGTTTCTCAAAATTATGTTTACTTTACCTTTTTGATATCAAAAGTATTGTATCGTACCAAAGATATTCTCTTAATTATAATTTTGATTGTAAGTTACATTTTAGTTTCATTATAATATATTTGAAAATTACAAAAGTACAATGACAGCTAAAGAAAATTTCATATAGGATTTAAAGTTCTTATTAAAATAATATTTCGTGTTTACGCATTAACTAATACCCGCGATTCTTTAATTTCTGACTCTTACATATCGATATTGTACGCATCGATACTTATACATATATATATTACACAACTATGTATGTAGGTACTGCAGAATACTTGTGAATACGTCTCGTATTGTGATCTAACCCTACCCATAGCCATTTTAATCTGCCTCGAAGGAGTACGTAGAAGGAAAGTAAGTTTAAGCGTATTGTATTATATTATTAGTTTTATTTGTTGACAATAAATATGTTTACGTAATCATATAACAAAATATTAATCTAAACATATTTCTACATATTTAACGAATATTTTATGTGGTTTTCTGAGAAATTTATTTTTCTGTTAGGTAACCACTTACACCCTACAGTTAATATTTGATATTATCTTAAAATGAAATGTTCTTTTAAGTGTAAATAAATTTGTTATCAAGGATTGATCTAAATATTTTGGGAATTATTTTATCAATAGCTAATCTTTTTAAATAAGTCAGCAAACTTAAAAATATATTTTAATTTTCTAAAAATTTTAATTTTTTGTACAAAATAATTATATAATAAAACGTAACAATATAAATTACGGGTACATGTTTAATTATATAAATAAATAATTGTAAATTATCCATCTCTTAGTATAATCATTTTTTGTTTTATTGCAATAACTTTTATATCTTTTTTAGTACATGATGGCTAGCAAACTATTTATTTCATGTTTGCGACAAAACATTCCAAGCCATAGTCGTAGGATGTCAGCACATAGTGTAATGTTTCCAGATAGAATTGGCAATAGAGATGTAGTAGGTCATGGATATAACGGAGACGAAACATATGTTGATCGTGTTGATTGTCCCATGCCTGCTATTCGTTTTAAACGAAACACTCCAGATGTTATGGTATGATAAATATTAAAAAGTTCACTTTTAAAGAAATTTATTATGGACGAAGGAAATTATAAGAAAGAATATAAATAAAAATGTGATCATTTTCATTGACATATTTTAAAATATACGATAAATATTCCTTAATATAAGGAATAATTAATATAAATATTTTATTAAATATTTTATTAAATATCTCATAATTTTATTTGTTATCTTGACTTTAATATGAATGTTTTAACACAGCATTATGTATATAAAAATATCTTGAGACACTTATATTAGTTAACGATATATGATTTTATATAGGCATTGAGAGAAAAAGAGAAGGGAGATTGGAAAAGATTGTCGATTGAAGAAAAAAAAGCATTATACCGTGCTAGTTTCCGTCAAACATTTGCAGAAATTCAGGCTCCAACCGGAGAATTAAAAGGAGCTTTGGGACTATCACTTGTAGGTGTGGCCCTCAGTATTTGGTTATTTTATTTCTTTAAAGTTTTTGGTAAGTTCATCAAATATAACAATATATTTCATTAAGAATATGTGCCCCAAAAAGTATATTTTTTCCTAAATAATCAATGGAGTATTTACAAGGAAAGTGTAAGTTCTTCAGTTTGGTCATTCTGTTCATTGTGCATTATAAGCGCAAACACGCAATACATTCTTAGATTTTTATGATTTAAGTTTAATAATTACAATATGTTCTGGTTGTAATTTGAAGTTCTATAAAGTATTAGTTTAATTTAGTGGTAATGTACTAGATTTTATTTGGCATGTGTAAACATATACTAAATTTTATTTATTTAAATAAATATTAACACATTGTTGCACACTTTGTAAAATATTAAATCATATAATGAGGAATAATTGTGTAGTTTGATGGAAAAATTTGTGTACTATTCTTTTACATTTTTCATACTCTTCATACCATTTACTAATCTTGATTAAAGAAATATTTATTAATCGTGTAAAATTAACACAAAAATGTTTTTTAAATAAGAAAATGTTATTGAAATTATTAGTGATTATTTGAATGATTAAAGGTATCGAAATGATAAAATCTGTGACCATTTTAAAGTTATAAAAACTATTTAAACTTTTTGAGGCACCAAAGAATTTGAAGAATATATTTCTTTTACATCTTTTAAAATAAATTTGTATATACTTTATGAAATTTTACAGCATATCCACCATTACCAGAATCATTTGATGAAGAACACAGACTTGCTCAAATGGAACGTATGAAATTACTTCAAGTTAATCCTATCTCTGGAATTAGTGCTAAATAGTAAATCTATTTAATTTTTATCTAAAATATAGTTAAAAACAGTATATTATAAGGTAACACTTATTCAAAAAATGTTAAGTGTAAGATTAGTAGAAATAAAGTGTTACTATTAAAATTAATGTCTTTAAATGTATAGAATTCCCCATTTAACTTAAATACCTTAAATATTTTGTTTGTTTTTTGATAATAGAAGAAACTATTAGGAGAACATACGAATTTTCGAAATAACAGAGGTATATACTTTTATTTTGATAGCGTAGTAACTAAAGTTTAGAACATTTTATTGATTTATGATATCATGACTTCTGTAAGATTTAGAGTATACAAAAATTCAAAAATCTAAGAATAAATAATAAAATAATGTTGTGCGAAATATCAAAGTAGGAAAACTTATTTTAACAAATACTTAAAATGATGTCCACCAATCTTCACACATTTTTATAAACATGTAATATACATTAGTGGATTATTGAAAATTCAAAATGACCAACAAGTCACATGTATTACACAAGTATACTTGCTCAGAAAATGGAACAGAAACAAGATACAAATATTTTATTTGTTTGGTGAATAAAAGTTAAACAATTTTTTCATTAATCAAATTTGTTGTATGATACAATACATATTTTTAGCAAATTATAATGTATTTTATGAAAACGTAAAGAACAAATTTGTGTCATTTTAATCAATATTTTAGTAGAAAAATAAAAAGACACGTACATTTTGGCATCGAAATAATCTAATAATATATGAAACAGTTAATAATTTTAATTCAAATATATTTTGTCACATATCTATTTTACGTATATCTATAGTATCTTGTAACCTCTTGCTATCTTTTTAATTTTAGATTTTGCATGTATCGTAATTCTAATTTTAGAATTGTTTAATTTTTTCGTTTTCTTTTCTTTCTACGGATGTTAAATCAGATATAAATTTGACGATTCTGGTGGAATTTATGATAATCTTGTAGTATTATGTAACAATACCTCTTTAACAATATATGTACATCACAGGTTTCAGGTCGTTATTATGCTGAAAGTAATACACAACGACCACTTTTAACTTTTCAGACAAATATATTATTTTTTAATATAACATATTCAAATATTTTTCCTTGTCCATTCTCGCTTCAATTAAATTGTTAATACCATTAACCGCCGTATTGCCTCAGGATACTACTATAAACTTCTTTCATACTTCATCATTAGTATTATGTTACTTTCATTAAATTTCCATCCAAGTGAAATAAATTAATTTTAACTTCGTTGAAAAACTCTATATTGTTCCAGAAGTACTGGTTATAATTTACATATTCTCTGACAAATTCTAAACATTGTAAACTGTATACTTTTTAAATGTAATTGGGTTTCATTCGTGCAACCCTACTCTAATTTTTGACGGAACATCTAGTGTTAATTTGGAGACACTTGTTCTGGGATTAATTTGTCTAATAAGTATTTACGCGATACTTCTCTGGTTTAGTTAGAAATTTTTACCTTCCTTGTTTTACTTCCCTATATAATAAACTCGGTTTACTTATTTAGAATATTTTGTACTGTAAAATGAGACCTGTTTTTTATTTTCCCAACTTTTACCTTGACAATACAAGTTTATAATTAATTTTCTTATGAAAAAAATGCGTTTGCTCTTTTCAAAATTGTAACGCGAATTATTATTAATAAACAGTGTAAAATAATTTATCAAACATAACTTAGCGACCAAAAAAAAGAAGGTACATGTTATTTAAAGGATTCTAAAGAATTTTAAGCAATGTAATCACAATCATTTGAAATATACATTCCTTCTTATTTTTGTTAATAAAGTGACACTAATTTAGGCGCATTTTTATTCAATGCGTTATTATTTGCTAAGAATACATGTTGTACTACTGCAACCAAACTATTCAACCAAAAAAAAGTTGTGTTTTTGACGATTTCTGTATTGTACGTACATTTAATTTTACAAGTAATAATATATACCATACGGAATTTTTTATGATAACATTATTGAACCATTTTATATCAATATCATCTTGAATAGTCAAAAATATACAAACATTCTAATCCATCAATTATCTAATATATTAGGAATTTCCACAATTTAAAAAAATCGAATATTATTTTAATATTATATATGTACGTTTCAATACATAATTAGCCCATAACTGAATGAAAAATTTACATAATTTTAGGTTGATAAATAGGTTGATTATTAAATTTTTTTCCATGGGGAGCAATTGAAGTAGCAAATTTTAATATTTAACCGAAAATTATAAAAAAGACTCACTAGAACTGCACGTACTAATATCAGTCAGGAAACTATAAAGAAAACTAGAAAATCGATCATTTACTGTTTACAAAAATGTACAGAAATTGGTGATTATTATTTTCGACGTTTGTTCAATAAATAAATTTGTCTTCGCTAATATCTAATATTATTTCATTATTTATATTATGAATATATATATATATTATATATATATATATTTCATTATTACTTAAAGGAATACTTTTCTTTGAAACTTTTCCTATCATTAAAAACGAGTCAAATATTTAAAATATTCCAGTTAAGTAGACCATCTCGTGTATCTATGAATATAGATGTAAAATATTTCAATAAATTAAACAAATACAAGTTTTTATTTTTTTTAACTTCTCTTTTTCCATCCTAATTGTTTTAATGGAAATTCGTTTTATTAATGCGTTAAAATTTTTTAACGATTTATGATCAACATACCTATATATGTTTTCAAAGATTATACATATATGTAATTTTATATATTTAGCTGTTTATTGTAAACTAAAATTTAATATTACATTATGAAGATATAGTATCAAAGAAAATGACAATGTCACAAAGAAACCCGTTATCACTGTTTATTGAAATTTTCACTACTTACACATTTTTTTAATAATTTCTGAATACAGACAAACACAAATCACAAATTTTTAATAAAAACTTACGAAAAACTTGATTGCAATTAAAAAGCCAGTAATAATTTTTAAATACTATATACTTGGCTGTAGTAATAACATCGAAATGTATGAAATTAATTACATAGCTCTAAGAATATAAGATCCACATTTTAGTGTTCACAGCATACATATATCATATACACATAGGTGTATGTATGTTGTAATAAGCAATTGACATTCTAATTATAAAATTGAATCACAGCTTATGATGTTATTCATGGATAACGTTGCCTTCAATATTATACAGAATACTGTTCAAATATTATAAAATTTGAAGAAAAGTGAATATTTAATAGTATTAATCTTTCTTTTTGCACTGAAATTTAGTGAAGGATAGTGCTTGAATTATATAAATTTGTATTAACACAAAATGCAATTCGGGCAAAGACTCTTAATTAGTAATGTTCTGTTATAAGAGACATAATTATTTTCTTTTTTTTATTCGAAGAACAAAAATTTATTTGTTTGATAAAACGGAATGTAATTTTTAATGAATTAAATACAAGATACTTTCGTAATACAGTATTCGGAGTTCTCAGTGATATCAAGGCCTTTCTACGTATTGTCATATACAAAATTTTTTGAAATGTTGCTCAGTTTTTAAAAAGTAATATAGAACATGTTTTAAATGCAATGTCTGATTCATGTATTGAATTCACTTGACATTCGATCATGACATGTATGCTTACTATTATTTGATAATATAAAAATAATGTATCATTATTCAGGGGAGACTAAAAATTACAAACTAGTGTTACGAAATCAGCAATACTGTATAAAAAGTAAAGCATTATGCACAATTACGACTTTAAAGAACACAGTGTAAAAATCTAAATATATTATTTTTTCCAGCAATGAGTTAGTATTTTCAAAAATATTTTTATTCAAAATTTCTTGATCACCAGCACACGAACTTATAACTTTATTAAAATTCGGAAAATATACCAAAACATTTTCACAAACAGTACTGGACTTACATATTACAGAAAAAAATAGATGATTTTCACATACACTTAGACATGTTCATGACTTCAAATGATAACATATTGTAACAAATACTATTTTAGGTAAGTATAAAATAAAAAAAAGTAGGTAACTATTAGACTTATTTTTCTATGTTTGATAATGTATATTACAATATTTACAATTGGTAAATCCCAATATCACCAATTTTTTCTGTCACCCCTTTGTTATAAGAATATAGTTTCATATAGAAAACTAAGTCTTTATCATCATTATTAGAGCTTGCTTTGTAGCTTCATGAAATCTTTAAGAAAACTGCACTGTAAATAATCTTTGTATATATCATCCATATTATATAAATGTATTACAATAGGTTTTATCAATGGATTATGATAAAACTATTGCTATTTAAAGATCGTAATAAGCTTTAACTTTGTAAACAATAATTAATAA